GTTGCTGCTACTGCTTTTGCTCCTCCTCCCTCTCCTTCTCGTCACCCTCTTCTGCCTCCGCTGATATTGCTGCTGCTGCTCCCCCTCCTCCCCTTGACCTTCGCGATCCTCCGAATTGTACTCCTCCTCCTCCTCCTCTGCTGCTTGCTCCCCCTCCCCCTCCTCCTTCTCCCCCTCCCCCTCCTCCTTCTCCTCCTCCTCCTCCTCTCCTCCTCCTCCTCCTCCTCCTCCTCCTCCTCCTCTTCCTTCTCCCTCTCCTCCTCCCTCCTCCTCCTCCTCCTCCTCCTCCTCCTCCTCCTCCTCCTCCTCCTCCTCCTCCTCCTCCTCCTCCTCCTCCTCCTCCTCCTCCTCCTCCTCCCCCTCATCCCCCCCATCCTCCTCATCCTCCTATTCCTGCTCCCCCGTCCTGCTCCCAAGCCATGCCTCTCCTTCTCCTTCGCCTTCTCCAGGGGGGCCCGGCGAGTGTTTCAAATCCACTCGCTGTTCGAGAGCCGTGGAGGCATCCAGGGGGGCCGAGGAGGAGGAGGAAGAGGAGGAGGAGGAGGGACGGAGGGAGGAGGGAGGAGGAGGAAGGAGGGGGGAGAGAGAGAGAAAGGCGGAGTAGGAGGGAGGAGGAAGACAGGAGGAAAAGGAGGACGAGGAGGACGGGGGAGGAGGAAGGAAGGAGGAACGAGGAATGATGATGAGGAGGAGGGACAGGAGGAGGAGGAGGAGGGAAGAGAGGAAGGTAAGACGGAAGGAAGGAGGGAAGGAAGTAAGGAAGGGGGGAAGGAAGGAAGGAAGAAGGGAGGAGGACGTGAGTTTCAGCGAACCGCCATCAGCAAACGACGGCCCCTTTGCGCCGCCTCGACCCCCAGTGCGAGATCAGGGGAGAGCACGACCGACGGCGAAAAGGACGGAGAGGTGGAAGGGGAGGAGGAAAAGGAGGAGGATCAGGAGGAGAGAGGGGCGGAGGCGGAGGAGAGCGGTGGGGAGGAGAAGGAGGAGAGGGAGGCCCCTAGCGAGCGCACCCCCTGGAGACCCTCCCACTCCTCCTTCTCCTCCTCCCCGACTCCCTCCTCCCCAGAACTCTAGCGAGCGCGCCTCCTTGAGACCCCCGTCCGTAGGACGGCGCGGCCGGGGGCGCGGGAAGCGGGGGTTGGCGCTGCCGCCCCGGAGGGTCCTTGAGACCCGCGCCGGTTATTGGCGCGCGGCCGGGTGTGGCGGGCCCCGCCTCCTCTCTCCTTGGCCTTCCCCCCCCCTGCCCTTGCATGCCCCTCTTTCCCCCCGTTCCCCTCCTCCTTCTCCTCCTCCTCCTCCTCTTCCTCCTCTTCCTCCTCCTCCTCATTCTCCTCCTCCTCCTCCTCCTCCTCCTCCTCCTCCTCCTCCTCCCTCATTCCTCCTCCTCCTCCTCCTCCTCCTCCTCCTCTCCTCCTCCTCCCCTCCTCCTCCTCCTCCTCCTCCTCCTCCCCCTCCCCCTCCTTCTCCCCGACTCCTCCTCCTCCCCGACCCCCCCCCCTCCCTAGTACTCTAGCGAGCGCGCCCCCTTGAGACCCCCGTCCGTGGGACGGCGCGGCCGGGGGCGCGGAAAGCTGGGGCTGGCGCTGCCGCCCCGGAGGGCCCTCGAGACCCGCGCCGACCATTGCCGCGCGGCCGGGTGTGGCGCGACCCGCCTCCCCCCTTCCTTTGTCCCCCCCCCCCTCCTGCCCCCGCCCTCCTTCTCCCCCTCCTCCTTCTCCTCCTTTACCTCCTCCTTTTCCTCCTCCTCCTCCTCCTCCTCCTCCTCCTCCTCCTCCTCCTCCCCGACTCCCAAACTCCCTGCTGAATTGCCTCCTCCCTAGAACACTAGCGAGCGCACCCCCTTGAGACCCCCGTCTGTGGGACCGCGCGGCCGCTCTTCGCCGAACTCTTCGGCCTCTGAGCGTTCCTCTCCCTCCTCTGGGCTTCTCCCTCTTCTTGCCTTGCCGGCCGTCTAGCTAGACCGATGTTCGCTGGAGCAGTCTTCTGCCTCGCCGCTTACCAACATGTGTTGCTTCGTCGCGGTAGTTTCATGTAGTTTCATGTTGTTCCATGCCGTTTCATGTCGTTGACAATGTTTTATTTGCGTTTTTAACACACGCCAGTTTCATGTAGTTTCATGTTTTGCACGATGGTTTCATGTAGTTGTATGTTGTGTTTGTTTTGGAAGGGGCACTGGACTCATGTATGTGGTCAATCCGAGCCTTTTAATGATTTGCGCACCCCCTCTTGGATGCCCCCCTCTTGGACGCCCCCGACTAGAGTCAGGTGTTGCCAGAGGAGGCCCAGGTTGTCCCCTGAGCATGCTGAACGAAGCGCGACAAGCTGGGGGCACCTTCGGCCAGGACCAGTTCCAGCAGCACATAGCAGCACACGATAGAGGGGTCGCCAGGGCCTACTCAGAAAGCCCTGGGAGCACCTTGGGCCTGGAGTGGGTCACATCTTCGCCTCGTGGAGTGTCGTATCCGCGATAGTCGGTTTTTGTGATGTTCGGGCGGTGGGGGCCCCTACCATGCCCAGGTCCAGACCTTTGGTGAGCCACACTTTGAAAGCACTACGACTTCGGATGTTTTAGGGGGGAACAACATGAACCTCCCCGATCGCCGATCGGGGATTGGGCCCGCTTTCCAGGCCAGCATCGTACTTTTCGCCATCGAGGGCACGTCGCCGATGTGTTGGCGACGTGTCGCCGATTCCAAGGCAAAGCTAACCCCCTCCTTAAGCCAGCCCAAAACTATGGTTGCCTCTCGGAGGGGCCACTCCCTTGTTGGCAGCCTCCGCCAGTCGTGGGCGGGAGCGTGTCCATGTCCACGGCCTCGCGGGCGCTGACGCCCCGCGTCATACGGTCTGGCGGCATCGCCTCGCGATGCTGACGCCGTGGGTATGGCATCGCGATGCTGACGCCTCGCGTGTCCACATCCACGGCCTCGCGGGCGCATGGATGCGGCACGTTTTTGTCGCCGCGCGGCACGCGTCTGTGCGACTGTGCATCCACGGGACCGAGCCCTCGGAATCCAGTCGACGACGACGAAGACGACGACGACGACGACGACTACCACAACGACGAAGACGACGACAACCACGACGATGACGACGACGACGAGACGACGACGTCGTTCGTGGGTCGAGACAGGGACGCCTCAGGGCAGAAGCCAGGAGCGTGTGGTTAGCAACCAGCTCTTGGGAGGTTAAGTGGAGCATCGGCGCCAGTATATCCGTGGTCGAGATCTGTTGAAATCTGGCATAATCCCGAGTAGTTTGGACTGATCCTGCCAATGTTCTTACAAAGACTCTGGAGGTACTGACTCCTAAGATCTGTTCGCTGCTCGCGAGTCGACGAGGAGACTCCGATGGGCCGGAGCCAGAAGCCTTGGGGGCCTTACGATCAAGCAGTGGCGAAGCACCCCAACTCGCTTATAAACCCACCGCAGAAGGTCCTACGGACCTTCGGTGGTTTGCACGACTTGTTCCTGGTGCGTTTCTGGCCGAGACAGTCTTTTCTTCATTCATGGGCCCCGTGTTTTAAGAGCACTGCTCGTGCTCGCAGAACGTTATGAGAACATGTTGTGCCAGGCTTTCACCGGACGGAGCTAGGACGAGGACAAAGCCGTTCCAGAGCGTTATGGAACGCTCTCAGACCGTTCTGGCACGCTCTGAGAAGGTCGCAGCGCTCGATACATCCTCCAGAGCCGCGGAATCTCACAGGTTCTCTAGCCCTCCTGGTCCGCATTTATCGTCGTCCTGGCCTCGTCTTAACTGTTCTTGCTCGTTCGAACACGCTTCTGTTCTGGGGCCACTTCGTGGCAGGCCTCTGGGTCGAGCAGTGGCGAAGCGTCTTGGCTTGCCTATAGGCCCACCACACAATTTTCCAATATACATTTGTGGTCTGCACGAAATGTTCTTAGAGCATTTGAGGCCGATACCATTTTGTTTTAACACATCGGGCTCATGTTCTAAACATTGTCTGGTCCTTAGAACATTTGGGGGTTCTAAGAGCATGTCGCGGTAGGCCAATAGGAATGCGGGGAAGGGCGGTCCCTACTCAACTGCGCGTGCTGGGACTGCAAGCCCCTGCCCACCTCTGGGCCAGGGGCACCCTGCCGGGCTAGCCTCGGTGTCCGCGCGTTTTCTCTCTTTGGCGCACGGGTAAGTCGGGCCTGTCCCTTTAGTCAGAGGAGGGAAAGGTACCCATACCTCTATCCCCTTTTTGGGCTTCCTCGGAGGCCCTCGTCATCACCGTCGGATTCGCCTCGCAATTCTGTTCAGAACGCACCCCGGGAGAGGTCTGGGGAGTGATGGGAATCGGTACCTTTCGGTCTCCCCATCCACAGGAAAAATATTCAAAACTAGTCGACAAATAGTTTGGGGACGTGCCCGACTTAAGTATTGTTGAGAAGTGTTGTCCAGAATGCGCTTGTAGGGGGACGTGCCCGACTTAAGCGCGCGGTACAGCAGCCACGCGCAGAGGGGGTCGGGGCTCAGAGGAGCAAGAGGTCATGTTAATGAGAGGTTCCAGGATTTCCATTGTTGTTTTCGGTTGCAAGGCATGGGAGCCTGGTGTACCCTCTTGGTTCCGCCTTTGGCGTCGACTGGCGTCGATTAGCGTCTTGGGAGTCGACGAGACAGCGCCGATTTAGCGTCGGTTAGCGTCGATCAGCGACAATTCAGCGTCGATAAGCGTCGACCAGCGTCGATTAGCGTCGATTCGCAAGAGCCGAAAATATGGTATGGGGGGTTGCCACCGCAGGGTTTCACGATACCGGAATGTTCCACAGGGGCTGCAGAAACGAGGGCCGCCAGATATCTTGAGCATCCTGGAGCGTGTCCTGAGCCAATCCTATCATGACATCATTGCCGCCCTACTTAGAGAAGCACCCCTGCCTCTGAGAAGGCGCGGGTCTCATCTGTAGATGCAGGGTCGGCGCGTTCCAAGAGGCAGCCTCTGTCTAAGAAGCCTCCCCCGATCCCTGCACCTCCCCCCTGGTGCGCGCCGCCAAGCCGAGGCACTGCTCCATCCTGGCGGTGGCCGAGGACCTCTCCCGCAGGCTCGTGGGCCTCTTCAGGAGGGCCGGGCGGCGGCGCTGGACGCACCGGGCGACGACGAGCACGACGGCGACGCCGACGCCGATCACGGGAGCGACGACGGCAGCGACGACGAGCTACCATTCCACCTGCGAGAGACGACGCCACAGACCCGACGACACCGACGACTGTCCGACAACGGCGCTGTCAGAGAGGTGGCCACCACATGTACATTGAACCCTCGAAGGTCCGCGCGGTTTTTGGGGCTCGGCGCTGGAGAGGTTAGGTTTGTGCCGTCGTCCTCTTCTTCTGTAGTTGGCCTTCGAGGGACCCCTCCGTCGACACGGCTGGACGCAGCTCGATCGATTTTGAGTTGCCGTTGACTGAAAGCGTCCTCCGAGGCGACGGCGGTGGCGGCGCCCACTGCAACGACGGCAGCGTTTACCCCAGCGTTGACGACAGGGATGGCAGGGACGGCAGCCGCGCCAATCGGCGGCGAACGACGACAACTGCGACGACGACGGCGACGGCGACATCGACGACGCCGATGTCTGCGTCGGCGACGATGGTGACAACCGCGACGACGGCGGCTGCAACGACGACGACTGGGGCTGATCGCGACTCAGCAGCGAAGACGGCGTGGGCGACGTCGACGACGGCCTCGACAGGGACATGCTCGACATTGGCGGCGGCGACGACGACGACGACGTCGGCGGCGTCGGCGCCGCCGCCCGCGCGCAGGAGCTCGGAGGAGGGCCGGCCCTCCCTGCGGCTGCACCCGAAGATGGCGAAGGACACGGCCGGCCACCCTGCGGCGCGGCGTCCTCCCTCCGTTTTCGGGGGTCGGCAGGCCTCCTGCCCTGACACGTCGGTCAGGGAATCTCGGGGGCGGACAGAATCCCCAGCAGTGGCACGTCGATCAGTGAATTGTCCGTTTTCGGTTCTCGAGAGGGCGCCGAGGCCGTTACTTTCCAGGCTTGCGCCCGCCAGGCGTGTGCCTCAGGTCGTTTTCACTAAACCACGTTTTACTAAAGGGAAGTCTGTCCATCCCCGAGAATCGGCCGTTTTCGATTCGCGAGAGGGCGTCGCGACCGTCATTTTTGCGGGTCCCGGTCCGTCGGTTTCGGTCCCAGGCCGTTTTCACTGAGGGGAGGTTTGCTAGAGGGAGCTCTGTCCACCGCCGATTTTTTTCGGTTCTGTTCCTTTCCTGCACCCTCCAGCCTTAAGTCGGGCCTGTCCCTCTACAGGAGGGATATTCAAGCATAGTTTAAGAATAGTATGGGGACTATTTTTAAACTATGTTCAACAATTTTTTGAGCATTTCTGGGGTATCTTTAATTTTTCGCCCAAAATCCCCCTGCAGGTGGACACGCCCGACTTGACTCCAGCCTCCGCCCGCCCTCCTCCTCCCCCCTCCTTCCGTCCTCCCTCAGCCTCCTCCCGCCGCTGCCACCCTCCCTCCCCATCCCTGCCTCTCCTCTCGCCCTCCTCTCCTCCACCTCCTCGTCCTCGTCCCTACTCATGAGGGAAAAAGACACACAGACATAATGAATCGTCGATCCCCCAGAAAATATAGGAAAATATGGGAAGTGGGGGGGAAGACAACAGCCCAGAAAATGTGGGATAATATGCGGAATCCTGCTATTTGTGTGTATTTATTTGTGTGTGCCAGGGCCCCTTCACCTACTCTCTCCTCCGCCCCTCTCCTCCTGCCGTCCCTGCAGATACTGCCGTGCTGGGTGCCAGGCCTGACTGTTTGGCTTACCATCGGGTCAGTGCCGTTGGATGAAACCTTTTCGTCAGATCGCAGCGTCCGCGCTCATGCAACCGTCCCACCTCCGCAACCTCATCCTTCTTTTCACTGTCTTCGATCCTCCTCCCTCGCCCCTACTCCCTCCACCCATCCGCCCATCCATCCATTCATTCATCTATCCATCCATCCATCCATCCATCCATCGATCCATCCATCCATCCATCCATCCATCTATCATCCCCCCCACCAGCCAATGACCGCCCTTAGGGGACCCTGGAATCGACAAGGCCGTTTTTTGACTGGAGCCGTTTTGCCGTTTTTGTTGCCGGTTCCGACGCCGTTGGTTTGCCCGTTCCGTCACCGTTTTTGTTCTTGGTTCCGGCATTGGTTCCAATCCTGGAGCCGTTTTTCTTGCTGTTTTCAGTCGCCGTTCTTTTTGCCACTTTCATTTTCCAGAGACAAGTCTCGGAAATAATGAAAAAACGCACCTGCCGTTTCTGGGGCCCCCTAAGTGACTGCCATCCATCCATGATTTTCCCTCCCTCTCTTCTTCTCCTCCAACTTCTGCTCTCTCCGGCCGCATTGACGTTGACCCCCTCATTGACGTTGACCTCCTTTCCTTTTTCTGCGCTAAGTCGATTCGCGAAATAAGCCTGGCCGTAATTTGCATGGGTTGGCTTTCCTCCGCCTGGCAGGGCGCTTGCGGAGACTTCCTCCTCGTGGTCCCTGTGCCCTCGAGGGGGCCTGCCCCTCAGAGGGCCACAGCAAACCGCAAGACGGCCCGTCAGCGAAGCGAGACCGCCGCCGCCGCTGCCCCCCTGCGGGTCGCTCTGGGGTTGGCAGAAACCCATCCCTCCCCTCTCGATTCGCAAAATTCACCCGCCAGCGTGGCCCTTCTGCGACTTCCCAGGAGGATGCTGCGGCCGCCACTCTTGCGGGACCGCGCCCGAGGGTGGCTGTCCCGACGGTGTTCTCAGTCAGCGTTGTGCTGCTGGAGCAGGCTCTGTCCTCAGCGTGGATCGACGTATACATCGCGTCCTTTGGTTGGCCAAGGAGCCACTGGACTCGACGAAGGAATTCGGTGTACAGACGCTCCAGCATCCCACGGGCTGGCAAGCTGGGGGGTCTGCACACCGAGCATCTGGGCCGACCTGCCGACCTGGCGTTTACGTCGAGCCCCTCCCGCGTCTACCCCCGATCTGCCACCCCTCCACGGCGAGGAAGAGGAGGAAGGGAGGTGAGGGGAGGAGAGGGAGGGAGGAGAGGAGGAGGAGGAGGAGGAGGAGGAGGAAGAGGAGGAGGAGGAGGAGGAGGAGGAGGAGGAGGAGGAGGAGAGAGGGAGGAGGAGGAGGAGGGGAGGAGGAGGCGGAGGAGGAGGAGGCTCCCCGGAGGCCGGGGCCGCTGCCCCGGGCGCGGGCTCTCCGCCCCGAGCCGTCACCGGACGGCCCCGGGATGCCCGGCGAGGGCCCCCCCCCCCCTCGGGAGCCTCGGAAGCCCCGAGACGGGGGTCCACGCCAAGGGGGGGTCAGCGTCCTTCCCGCGGCGGCGGGAGCTGGCCCGACAGGCGCGGGCCGCAGGCCCGGCGAGGGCCCCCCCCCCCCCCTCGGGAGCCTCGAGAGCCCCGAGACGGGGGCCCACGCAAACCCTGACCTTCCAGGAGGGCTAGAAAATAGCACGCGACTTAAAAACCTATCCCAGAGCTATTCCGTGTCTTGGTTTTAGGCTGTTTCGTTTCGTTTTTTATATGTTTTTAGGCCTCCCGTGCTAAAAATAGCTCTCTGGCAGGTCAGGGAAGGGGGGGTCAGCGTCCTTCCCGCGGCGGCAGGAGCTGGCCTGACAGGCGCGGGCCGCGGCGGGGTCGGGCCCGGACCTCCTCCTCTATATAGGGGAACGAAGTCGGGCTCAAGAGACGGGGGTTCATGCAAAGGGGGGGTCAGCCAGAGCGCTGGATCTTGCAGGATCCTGCAGGGCCAGGGTCGCACCGACCCGGGTCTGGGTGCGGGGTCCTGCAGGGTCTTTTGCGGGATCCTTCGCTTGGACCCGGGCTCGGGTGCAGGACTTGCAGGATTTTGCAGGATGCTGCAAGGCCTGACTGACCCGGTTCAGGTTAGACGATCCCTGGAGGCCGACAAAATTGCTTCCAGCCTTCGTGCCGTCGCGATGCCCTCGTGGATCGCGAGAGGGTATGTCAGGGCTCGCGGCCCTGTCTCTGGGGAGAGAAAGAAGCTGCACAGGCGCAAACTGAACGAGGCCTGCACGGATTCCTCGGATCCGCGCGCGAGCCCCGGCTGTCACAAAAAAACACTTGAGCAACGAAAGACAACAGACACCGTTTAAAAAAAACATACGGTTGCCACGATTTCTTGTTGGTGGCAGTTTGTGATCCCTGGCGCGCAGGGCGCGTGCAGAGGGTGGCGCCAGAGGCGCCGCGAGGGAGGCCGAGGGCCGATCCAAGAGAGATCCGCGCAGATCTCTCGACGTTCTTGCCTCGGCAGTTGTTCTCAGAGAGCGTTTTTGGTCGAACGCCTCCTGCGTTGGGTGCTCGTCTTGAATCGAGTTTCGGTCGCGACCTCCTCCCGCCTGCCTTCTCCTATCGCCCCCGCTCACCTGCCTGCTGCCCTGCCACTCACCTGCCCCAAGCCCTGCCTCCTGCATGCCTGCCACCCTGCCCCCTCGCCTTCCCTAGGAGGTCTGCGAACTTTGAAGCCGCCGCCACTTTCGAGGGACTTGAATTTGACTTCGCCATCCTTGGGGGGGTGCGATCTGCCAACCTGCCGCCACTTTTGCAGGGCTGCTATGGGTTCCCGCGGGTTGACGTTCTGAGCAGACTCAGATTCGAACTGCGAAACAATCGCCGACGAGGGCTGCCGGGGGGCCCAGCGGAGTGACGTTCTACGCAGACTCAGATTCGACCTCACCATCCCTGGGGTCTGCGAACTGGGAAGCTGTCGCCGCTTGTCCAGCGCGCCAGTGGAAAACGATGGGCACCTTTTTTTTCCTTATCCTGCCTCTTTCGTTGAAGTCATCGTAGGTGGCTGCGATGTGCGATACTGTCGCCAGATTGGAGGGCTGATGGGGGGCCCAGCGGAGTTAAATCAGACGTAGACTTAGGTTAGACCTCGCCATCTCTTGGGAGCTGCGATTTGCCAAGCTGTCGCCACGTTCGAGGGCTGCTGCGGGGCCCAGCGGAGTGACGTCATACGAAGACTCGAGGGCTGCTGGGGGGGGGCAGCAGAGTGACGTCATACGCACACTCATATTAGACCTCGCCATCCCTGGCGGGCTGCGATCTGCCCAAATCGTCGCCACTGTGGAGGGCCTACGCAGACTTAAATTTTCCTTCGCCATCCTTGGGCGGTTGCGATCTGCCAACCTGCCGCCACTTTTCCAGGGCTGCTATGGGCTCCCGCGGATTGACGTTCTAAGCAGACTCAGATTCGAATTGCGAAACAATCGCCGTCGAAGGCTGCTGGGGGGCCCAGCGGAGTGACGTTCTACGCAGACTCAGATTCGACCTCGCCATCCCTGGGGGTCTGCGAACTGGGAAACTGTCGACGATTGTCCAGTGTGCCAGTGGAAAACGATGGGCACCTTTTTGTTCCTTATCCTGCCTCTTTCGTTGTGGTCATCGTCCTCCGTCACAATTTCTCTGCTGCTGCCGCATTAGCTTTTCGGCACCTTTTCCGTCGTTTCCCCCCTCGTTCCCACCACAGTTTTCTCTCCGAGCCTGGGTCCTCGGTCCTCGTCCTGCTGTTGCTGTCTTGTGAATCGTGCAAACGCGCGCGCTTCCCATACAGCGCTCGCTGTGTTGCCATCAGCAATCTAATTCTGACCAGCACCTCTTGTCTCTTACTGCAGATGTGTTGAGTACGTCACAGTGTGATTATCCCCTGGCGATAACGGAATGGAGGGGGTGAGGGCGCAGGAAGGGGGGGGAGGGTGGGGAGGAGGCCCGTCACGTCGCGATTCGCGCCCAGCGTCGCCTGTGAATGTTTGTTTGAAGAAGGCTGGTTCCGAGACGGCGCGGGCGCATATCGCGACCTGACCGGGCTTGGCTGGGTCTTGGGCCAGTCACGGGCGCCATGGCGAATAAGACAACAAGTTGGCGACGCAGGAGAAGGGTTCCGACTGCGCCGACATTGGCGCGCAAGCTCCTCGCGCAAGGTCGCGGGTACGCGCCCTCGTTGCCACTGCAGCGTGCCGCGCGGGCGGCCCGCGTAGGCCACCGCGTAGGGTCGTTACGCCATCTCGCGCAAGACCCGTTTCAAGCAGTGGCGAAGCGCCCCGGCTCGCCTATAACCCCACCAAACAATATGCTAAGAACCTTTTGTGGTTCCCACGACATGTTCTTAGAACATGTCTGGCGGAGTCTGTCTTGTTTTAACACATCGTTTTTTCTAATAACATTGTTTTTGTTATTGGAACTTCTTTGGGGTCTAATAACGTTTTGTGATATGACTATAGGAATGCCGGGACGGTCGGTCCCTGAGGGACCGTTTTTGATCGTCGTTCACCTGCCATTTTTCCTTGGCCATTCCTCCCTTCGCACCGCCCTACCCCCGCAACCGCCGCCCAGGAGGTCCCGACCCCTTCCCGCGGAGGCCCCCATCCTGGAGGGGATGCGGACGAGGAGGAGGAGGAAGAGAAGCATGGACGATGAGAAGGGGGAGGATGAAGAGGAAGAGGAAGGACGAGGAGTAAAAGGAAAAGGAAGGACGAGGACGACGAGGAAGAGGAGGACGAAAAAGAGGAGGAGGAGGAAAGACGAGCACGAGGCCGAAGACGAGGCCGGTTCTCCGCCTAGCGTTCCCCCTGGCCACGGCAGCCGCCCAGGACCCGCACTTCCGGGACCACCTGCTGTTCTACGAGCACTTCCACGGCGACAGCGGCAGGGGCGTCGGCGCCTCGCACCAGACTGGCTGTCAGGGGCATCGTAGGGGGGGATTGGCTCAGCGGGGGATGCATCGACCCCCAGTGACACCCAGAGGCCCGATAGCCCACCCCCCGCCCAGGAGCATGCGGACTTGTTGTCGAGAGCCTTTCGGCGATCTATCTGCGATGCATCGCAGATTCCAGTAGTTCGATGCTTCCCCCCCCGCCAGTCCCCATCTAACGCTGTCCTTCAGGCTGGACCGGGCTGGTGGCGAAGCTCATCCAGGCGTTCGGCGACAGGCCAGGAGTCACTAAAGAACACCTTTCTCTTTCGACCTGGTCGATCAAGTGATCGTCGAAGATGTGTGTTTTGTCAATATTGTGCTCGTTCCTCGCTTTCGGCCTCCGAGGGCGGCCTTGGGGCCCCAGGGCCATCGAGTGCGGATCAAGGACGCAAAGCCACCCTCAGGGGAGGGCTCGGGTGCTGTGGGGCCACGTATATAGCAACACTGCGGGCGTTGTTCCCCGGCATACGTATGTGCCTCGTAAGACTCGGGGGCGGCAAAGAGGGGGGTGATGACTAGGGGGGTTGGATGTCATGGCGGGGGCCATGATAGTTCCCAAGATTTCGTGGCGCCTCTTCTTATTTCATCACGTCCCTGCCCCCCCCGCTGGGCCGCGCACATGCCGCCATGATTTGCACCCCCCCTCTTGGACACCCCCCTCTTGGCCGCTCCCGACAGACTTCCAGAGCAGGCCTCCCGACCCGCCCACCCTGCATACCGCGGCCGCCAGATCCCCGGGACCACCCACGGATTCCGCGGGGATCCCTTCTGTGGGCCGCCGCATGCCGCGGCCGCCGGCCCCCCAGGACTACCAAGGAATCCGCGGGGATCTCTTCGTGGGTGGCCACATACCGCGGCCGACGGATCCCCGGGACCAGCGGAGACTCCGCGGGGAGCCCTTGTGGGCCGTCACCTACCCGAAAAGAACATATCATTTTTGCTAATCGATGGAGCGCCATGTAGCAGAGAGAGGGGGGGAGGGGGAGGAGGGGAGGGGGAACTTGCAGCTAATTGATCTGTCGCGCCCGGGCGCGCCGCGAGCCGCAGACGCAGCGCCTCGCGCCACGCGGTTTCCGCAGCGCCCGCCCAGGCTGGCGGCGCCAGTAGCAGGCCAGCAGCGCGTGGCGGCAGCTCCGTAGCCCAGCCGCTGCAAGGCCTGCTCGCCAGCCGTTGCCAGGTGGGCGCCCAGCAGCCGCAGCGCGGGCAGACCCCCCCCATGCGGGCACCTTTTCTCGCCTCGTCGGCCCGCCACGCACCGCCGGCGAAGAAGGCGCTGGCGGCGGCTGCCCCCGCCGCCGCCGCGGGGTGCTGGGCGGGCTGCGGGGCCCACGCTCGGGCGGCCGCGGCGGCCGCCACTGCCGCGTCGCTGCCCTCGCGGGGCGCGCGCCGCCTGCGCCGTGGTTGGCCATGGTTGGCCTGGCCGCCCGCGTCGCCTGTGCCGTCGCCGACTGGGCCTGCGACGCCTGCCGCGTCGCCGCCTGCGCCGCCTGCGCCGCGCCGCCTGCGCGTGGGGCTGGCGGGCGCCGTCGCCGTGGTTGGCCTTCAGCACGGCCAGCTCCACGGCTGCCATGTCTCGCTGCGTGGCAGCGAGCGCGTCCAGGCCCCACCCGCGCACCAGGAGCGGCGCGCGAGCCGGCAAGCGGGCCCCCGCCGCGTGGCCGGCCAGGCGGTCGCGGCCGCGCTGCTGGCACGGATTCCCGACCCCCCGCTCGCGGGCCGCGTCCAAGTGCGTCTTCACCCATCTCGCGCGCACGGCGCCGCTGCGGCAGTGCAGTGCGGGGCAACGCAATCCCACATCTCCGCGTGCGCTTGCTCCCTCGGGTTAGCCCCGTCGCGGATGGCCGCCACGCCGCGGCTGATTAACTGGGAGTCTGCGACGACGTCAACCAAACCCCCGCCAGGTTCAACGCACGCATCGCCGTGGTGAGTTCTGCCCGCTGGGCTTTCTGCGAGCCATCCACTGGCCCACCGTGTTCGACGAAGCCCGTTGCGCCCGCCGCATCCAGCTTGACTCCCCAGCCTTCTCTCGCAAGCAGCGGGTCGCCCAGGCGCGCTCGCAGGCTCCGTCCGTCCAAGCGCGCGCCCTGCCGCCGCCTTGCAGGCTCTGCGGGCCAGGCAGATTTGGTAGCGGCAGCGGCAGCCCAGCTTGCTCCGCGAGCGCCGCCAGCCGCAAGTCCTGAGGCAGCACCCCCGTGAGGCATGTCTCAGGCGGCATCCTCGCGCGAATCTCGTCGCGCAGCACAGAACTTAGCACAGCATCGAGCCATAAAATCATTACACGAAAACAGTACAGCGCAATTACTGTGAATGCACAGAGCACGCACTACAACAGCATTCCACAAACAGTGTTTGCACTTAGGGTATCGCGCTTCTCCTTTGAGGCGCTGGGCCGCGTTGGCGGTCTGGCGGCTATGTTCTGGCCGTCGCGGCGGCAAAATCCGAACCCGACCCTCGTCCCTCCACAGTTCAGGCAATCGAGGGGCGGCGAGTGTAGGGGTCGGAATTCGCCGAGCATGCGGCGAAATCCCACATCTTCCCCCCACCTCCCATCGATTCAGGAGAATCGATGGCTCTTCGGGGTGGGGCTTGGATGTTCCCTTCTAGCCCAACGGGCATCATCGGAAGGGGAGTGGAAGGGGCCCGGCGATGTAACGTTGGGCGCCGCTTGCGTCCAGGAGCGGTCCTGTGAATAACGACAGCCGACGATCCCCAGACCCCGCCAGCGCCGAACGTTACGTCACGCCGGGGAGGGGGCCAGTGAGTACAGTCGGGGCGCTGAAGAAGGAACCCTATTTGTTGGGGAGGGGCTTGGTGTCCCTTGATTGTTTCAAAGTTTGCCTCTGTTTCCCTGAGGCTTTCCATGGGAAATCGAGATTGAACTTATGAGAAGAAGGGGCCTCGTTCCTTATTTGTTGTTCCTTAGGTCAACGCCTCGACTGTACTGGCCGTCACGCCGAATCATCAACACAGATTGACGTGTCGGCCGGCCCGAGTGGAGCCGACGCGGGCGGCCCGACGTGTGCAGTGGCGCCGTGGCGCCGTGGCGCCATTTGGCGTGGCTCGATCTGGCTCTGTTCGGGCTCCGCGCGGACGTCTGCCTTTTCCCCAAAGCTTCGACGTCGCGAGTTGTTCGCAGCGTGGACCCCCAGATGTCTGGACCTACTCCCTGGGACCAGTCTCTCGCCCCGGACAGGTCTGGAAGGTCCCAGGGCCTGGCTGGGGTCCCCAGAGGCTGAAACGTGCCAAACAAATCCGTAACGAATTTTGTCACGCCGCGAGGAGGCTGGTTTTCAGAACTCGCTCGGGCTTCGGGTGCCCGTGTGGGACGGTTCTGAGCTCCCCAACGTTCTCGGCGAATCACGGTCTGCTGTAGAGCATCCCAGGGCAAATCAATCTCGAAAAACAAACGGCACGTATCAACATCTTCGAGGACCGACGCGCGCTCCGATCTGATGCTCCCCGATCTGATGCCGCTTATAGAGCGTTTACCTGCAGGCTGACTTGCATCATGGTGTTCCCCCCCTGCCCTCCCCTCCGCCTCTTCAGACAGCGCTGGGGCCGAAGAGGCAAGTGAGTTCCGACCTGCGTCAGGCCCAGATCTTTTTTCGGGCCTCGCAGCGCCCGCCCTCTCAGCTAATGCTAGCAAACTCACCGGAGCTTCAAGAGCAGATGCCTCTCAGCCGATCTACACCGATCGCCCACTCATAGTCCACTGATAGGCTAGGTCCAGGCCAGGGGTAATATACACCTCGGCATCTGTATGTAGCCCCCCGATCCCCGTCGCATCGGAGGCGTCCAAGGGGGGGGATGCCAAGGGGGGGATATCATGGGCCATGGAGGCTCGCTGGATTTCCTGGGCCCCACTCTGTTCCCTTTCCAGTTGAAACAGGAAGAGGGACGTATCGAATACGGCCCCCCGTCTCCCCCTCCTCCGCGGAGGTGCCTCCCGCCATGATCTGCGAACCTGCCTCTCAGATTTCCCCTGTTCGGCACCACCCATTCATTCTAGGCCTCTTTCATGGGGTCCGAGTAGATGGGGTCGGAGGATCGCGCCGCATCGCCGATGCATCGGCGATGCATCGGCGATGCACCGGCGATGCGGGGGGATCATCCGACTCCATCTGCTCGGACCCCAAGTCGGGCCTGTCCCTCTACAGGAGACATGTTCACAAGTAGTCCAAAAATAGTCTGGGGACGATTTTTCGAGCATGTTTGGACCATTCTGGGGCATTTTCGGGGCATGTCGTACTTTTTGTCCAAAATCCGCCTGCAGGAGGACTCGCCCGACCTGACCCTGTTCACGTGTATTACAGGTGTGCGCCGGCCGCGCCAGGGGTTGCGCGCACGCTTAGCAATCTGATAGCAACCGCTCGGTGGCCGCCCGCTTCCGGACCACGCCGCCCCTGGCAACGGTGTTCTGCGAGGTGCTGTGCTGCACGCTCGGCTCGGACGCGCGTCCCCTCGAAGAAGAAAGTGCCACGCAAACATAAACTTTTGGCGCTCCGCGCGGCGTTCTTGGATCCGCGCCTGGGCCCCCCGGCGGCGCCGTCGGCGCGTCCCCTGGCGCGCTCCGCGCGCCAGAGAGCGAATCCAAGAAATCCGCGCGGAGCGCCAAGAGTTTATGCTTATGTGTGTGTGTGTGTGTGTGTTTTCCTTCGATCTCCAAGAGAGGCACATACAGGCAACCCGCGCGGTAAAGATGGTCGACTTCCCCAGGTCACCCTCGCATCCTTGCCTCGTCGGCCGTCTTGGGTCCATCCTCAACCACGCTCGATGGCCAGCCCCGCTCGAAGAGCCTCGGCACGGGCGCCCAAGGCCCCTGCATCCTCAGCGCGCATCCTGACGAGATGGGTTGACTGTAGTGTTTGTGTGCCCTTGTGCGTCTCACAGCTCGAAGCCCGCCGACCCTTCAGGAGGGACAAAAGCACGCAGAGACACAACACTTGTTTTTCGATTCCCATGGCGGTACGGGAAAAATGAGAAATGGAAGGGAAGACGAAACTGTTCACGCTTCGCGTATCCCCACCAGCCCGTAGCCTCTGGCTCAAGCCGCTCTGGCTCGAGGTTGGTCGGCGCGACCTGGGTCCTCCGCCTCCGGGTCCGGCCGGATGGAACCGCCCTCGGCGCAGCGGCGGCGGCAGCGCCGGGCTGCTGCCGCTGCCGCCAGCGCCCTGGGCGCTGCGGCCGCTGCTGGCGCCGCCGACGCCCCCCGCGCCGCGGCGGCCGCCGACGCCG